CTTCTCTTGGTATCCAACATTCTCCCAAAGTGTCATGAAAATGAAGCTAGGATCAGGAACAAGACTGGCTAAAGAAGGCAGGGCTATCAGTCTCTCTGCCTGTTAACATTATTTGCATTCTTGCCTTTTAAAATATATCCATCTCTCTATCTCTCTCTCTCTCTCTCTATCTATCTATCTATCTATCTATCTATCTATCTATCTATAGATATATCAGTGTCATGTCAAATTCCACAAAAAATTATTTTATAGAGCCAGAAAAAAATCCACTCTATCAAAGTGAGATGGACAGTGTTATGCCTTAGTATCTCCATTTTATAGATGAAGAGTCCAGACTCAGAGAGCCTATCTTACTCTCTATCACACAGTTAAAAAGGTTTGGATATAAGATTCAAACCTACCATTCTTAACTCCATGTCTAATGCTTTTTCCATTGGATTTGGGGAAGGACCCCTCCCATTTTAAAGATGAGAACATTAAGGTCCAGGGGAGTGAATTGATTTGCTCTAGATCACACAGTTTGTATGTGGCAGAACTGGGTCTAGAGTCCCAGTGTCCAATTGCTAGATCAAATACTCAGCAGAGAGTGGTGATTCATTATATAGGAAAATCTCATTTGGCAAAAAAACAAAACAAAAAAGTCCAGGAATTAGGATTTGGCATCTGTGAAATAATACCATATTTTTTATCCTAAACCTAAAGTATGTGTTCAGTGCAGGTAACCACATGCAGAAAGGAGTCCAATCCTTCCCCTTCCCCTATGTCTGTATACCAGGGTACCCATTAGATGGAAGGACTTAGGCTCTCAGTTCCATGTAGTGCAATATAAATAGTTCTGCTTTGTCTTTGAAAATCTGAGGGAATGAAATGCAAGCTGTGGTTGAGCAATTAAATGCATAAAAGTTGGAAAAATTTTGTCTTTTTGCTTTTCCTAATATAGCTCAGTGAGGCCCAGGGAGAAATGATAGTGTCAGGAATTGACAAGCAATTAGTGCTTGGGTCCCAGCAGAGACCAAGGAAATTTGGTTGGGAAAGAAGGCTGGGGGTGGAGACTTGAGTGTCGGTTCTCATTCTTTCTCAGAGTTACAGGGCAGCAGCAGGAAAAGTACAGTCATCTGGATAGCCTGACCCCCTTCTCTCCCTGTATCCAAATCCTACCAAGGATGAAGTCATGTATTTGACTGTATCTGGCTATTCTCATCACCCCTTGCTGGATTTATTCTAACACCTTCCTAAATGTTCTCCCTGCCTCTGGCCTCTCCTCATTCTAATCCATCCTCCACACGACTACCAAAATTATTTTCTTAAAGTATGGGTCTAACTATGTCTCTCCCCAACTCAATAAACCCAAGTGGCTCTCTAGTACCCATAAGATCAAATATAAATCTCTCTGTTCAGCATTGAAAGGCCTTCCCAGCTTATTTTTCCAGCTTTATTACACCTTACTCCCTTTAATATACATTTTAGTCTAGCCAAAGTGGTCTTCTTACTGTTCTCCGTACATGGAAATCCTTCTCTCCTCTCTATACCTTTGCACTGACTGTCCTGCATACATGTTTTGTACTTCTTCCTCCTAGAATCTCTAGTTTCCTTCAAGGCTCAGCTCAGGAGCTTTTTCCACGTGAAGCCTTTTCTGATACCCTGGCTATTAGTGCCTTCTGCCAAAAATTATCTTGCAATCATTTTGCATCTATTTTGAATGTACATTTTTGTGCATGTTCAATAGATTGAAAATTCCTCAAAGATACTTTTTTCTTTGTATCCCTCATGCCCAGCACAGTGTCTAGTACACAGATGGTGCTTAGTAAGTGCTTGTTGGTTGACCGATTAATTCATTGAAGAATCCAAAATTATTTCAAGTTCTCTAGACTGGGAAACAGAGGAAGACAAATTGGGAAGGAGGCAGGAACAGAAAGGAAAATGTTAGGTTTCTTTGGATGTATGTTGAATTTGAGGATGGCAATGGATTCTAAACAGAGATGTCATACAAGTAGGTGGAAATTGGTCACTTAAGGAACAGCATTTAAGCTGAATATATCGATTTGGAAGTCAACTACACAAGAGTAAAAGTCGTGGAAACAGAAAAGATCTTTAAAGGAAAAGAGCTTCTGACCAAGGACAGATAAATGCATATTCTGTGGTCTTTCAGGAAGGGGAGGTATCTTTGAAAATTAGCCAATCAGGAGCAAGTTGACTGCAATTTGGACTACAATTTGGGAGAAGAGTTACAGGACAGGTACGTCTAATTGCCTGCAGGGTAGGGAAGCATTTGGAAAGACTGAAAGAAAGAGTTGATTCTTAACATCCATGAGTAATACAGGAAATGTTTCAACTCAAGTGAAAGCTGAAGCAAACTCCCCCCCCCTTTTTTTTGTGCTCTGATAGTGGGAACCCAAGAAGAATGATTGATTCGTCTTCACTATATTTCAATAAATAAAATATCAGTCCTTTGGAGAGTGAAGGCCAAGGCAGATAAGTCATTGCCCCAAATTCAGTTATACGTGCCATGGTTTCCCTTCTGCTCCTGCTTTAGGGAGGGTTATTAAATGTTTTGCTTTTAATCAGAACCAATTGTGACATTTTTCCCAGGGTTTGCCCTGAATGCCCTAAGGCAAGGCACGTGATCAAATTGCCCTATTTGAGGGAAAAGGCTTGTCCTCCACTGGAACAACAGATAGGGATTAGATCAAATTTCTGCAATACCTCTCTGCTGAAGACGAGGATGCTAGCTTTTCAGATTGAAACAATCTCTGGGTCAACAGGGATTCTTGCTAATCTTAGAGCTTCTCACTGGCTATTCCCTTGCTTTCTGTTTCACCATAAGGAAATCAGTAATTCCAGGGGGGATATTGCTTTGAGTCATATTTTCCACTTTTACTAAAGTTTTTTTTTCCCCTAAGCTAATGCTTCATTAGTTTTAGGTCCAGACCACTCTGTTTTAGGACTGTGCTTCTTAGTTGTCTAACTATGCTGGTACCATCATTTCAGAACTCAAATAAAAGTCTTCCTCTGACACTGGCCCAGGAGACTGCATATTTAGCCAATCCTAAACGACTAGGATGGGAGAGCTTGAAAACATATAAAACTCAACCTATTAAAATATAATAAAAAACTCAACCCATAATCATTACTATCAGAGCTGAAACTAGCTCATGGCAAACAGAACTTAGACCTAGGGCACCAATATCTGGGGGGAAGGGAGCTACATTTTCTCCTCATGATGATTGTTGCCATCACAGAATACAACTGCCCCTGGGCTGTTACCTCCAGGGTTCTGTCACTATGATGCCCCTCTTTGAGGCCCTACCTTCTCAATCTTCTAAGCTCTCTCCTAGCTAATTGCCTTCATGATGGGACTGGCCTCAGTGCTATCACAGATGTACTGCATTGACCTATATTCCCAACCATATTGGTTCCTGTTTAAAAAAACAAAAACAAAAACTAATTATATCTCTGAGTAGCATAGGAGAAGAAATAATCAGTAAATGTGGTAATTTTATTGGAAACTTAGTGGGAAGGCTAAAAGCCATGGCATGTCAGATTTTCCTTATTTCTTTGAACTTTCTCTTCCACCAAGACAAGAGATCATCTTTGTTCTTCATTAGCACCCTAATCTTGATCACAGAAAATTAAATAAAGACCCTAAGATAGCCAATGATTGACTGGTTAATAGAAACCTACTACCAAGGCTTTTCTCTGACTATCACATCGGTATTTCAGTGCCAGAGCACTCTTCCCTGTAGTCTAAGTTCCAGAAGGAAGGCCATATACATACTATATGGGTGTGCTTAATTGATAAATCCAGTGGGGAATGTCAACTTGGCAAGTAAATTTATATTTAAATTTAGTTGCATATTTGTGATATGCAACTAGTAAGGATAAAAAAGAGATTAGAACAAATCTTATCTCTGAATTTCACCATCATGTCATCATACAATTCAAACAATTTTCATGCTTTAGTTATATAAAATAAACGCTTTGAATACTCCAAGATGCTAATGAATCTGTGGTTTCAGTGATATGACCACTCCTTCCAAAGATGCAGATTGTAATGTATCCATGTGGGCCCATTCTCTGGTACTCTTGTCCAAATCCTCCCCCCAAATCCACCACAGACATGCTGGGAGCCTTCTTCTCATTCTCTTGTTGTAATATGGATACCCATGGGACACATTGGTATTCCAATGGTTACTCCCCTTGCTTTCACTATGTGACTGGTCCATCTTTTTTTTTCAGTCATATTTTTTTCTGACAACATCCTTTATACTGATCCTTCATCACATTTGCTCACTTGCCATATGCTTCAGCTCATTCATACCCACCACATTCCTCTTCATTGCTCTTTGGGTAATCTTCAACTTCAATTTCTGAAGCATGATACACAAATTGTTGTTATGCAACAACAGTGAAGAATATTAGTGTTGGAAAAGACATCCTTGTTTTAGAGAGAAAAGTGGTGTCCTTTAAAGAATGATATAATTGCCCAGAGGAAATCTACCTTGCCTTCCTCATCCCATTCTGTTCTGGGCCTGGCTCATGCATTGTCCATTTGTAGTCTCTTCCCAAAGATAGATGAACTGATGGACTAGCTCTCTGTGTTGTTCATCCAACTACATGTCATAGTCTGGATAACAGGCATTCTTCATCCCTTTAGGTTCCCTCCCTCGGGGAAAAATTAGGCTAAATTATTATTTAAAAAAATACTAATTTTTTTAATCCCCCCCCCACCATGGGGAAAATTAGGCTAAACTATTTATTATTATTTTTTTTAATTTTTTTAGGCAATTGGGGTTAAATTACTTGCCCAGGGTCACTCAGCTAGTAAGTGTCAAGTGTTTGGTCTGAGGCCAGATTTGAACTCAGGTCCTCCTGACTTCAGGGTTGGTGCTCTATCCACTATTTCACCTAGGTGCCCCTATTATTATTTTTTTAAAAAAATTAATGTCTTATATTTTTATGTCATCTAAATCTCCCCATTTCCTTTCTCCCTTTTTTCCCAGAAAGTCATCCCATATAACAGAGAACTTCTTAAAAAGAAAATGAAAAAGAATAGAAAAAAAAATCCGTAAACCCAATGGAAACATCAAAAATTCTGCAACTACATGCAATGTGCCACAACCATAGACCTTCTGCCTCTGCAGAGGAGTAGGAGTAAGTAGGTATCCTTTCATATCTCTTCTTTGGGGGCAAGCTTGTTCTTTGTAACTTTACACCATTCATTTTTTATTATTTTGTGGTTGTTCTTTCCATTTCCACTCTTACAGTCATTTTGTGTGTTGTTTTCTAGGTTCTGCATCAGCTCATGTAAGCCTAGGCCAAATTCCTTTGAATGATCATAGGTCTCACTTAGGAGGCTCAGCAGTGTTCTGTGGTTTCATGCAAATAGCACAGTTACATGAAAACAAAAGCATCTGGAGGACCTCCATCCATAGGGAATTCTTCTTCCATTTGAATCTTCTCCATGACAGTGGCAAACAACTTCGGTGATTGTGCATCTCTCCATTTCACGCTTTGCTTGATATTAACTCTCAGAGGATCCTCAAACAAAGAAGGCTGTGTTGCTACTTCTTTCAAGTATCTTGTATAGTTTTAATTTAAGTATCATATGCTTGGGTAGACATCCCCCCTAACTCAGCAATGGGGTTGAAGCCTGCCAACTTGGTTTAACCCTTCTGCCGAGATAGTTTTACCGGGGTGTAGCCACTGCTTATGTTACAGCTTTTTGGAGCCACGGGTAAGAGTGGGATGAAGGTAGACACCAAAGGTGGATGAGCAGCCCTGAAAAGGGCTTGGCATGATCTCACACCAGAGGTGCTAGTCTTCACCGAACCATCTTGGCAGACAGGCTAAACCAGGCTGAGGGCAACCAACAGGCTTCAAACCCGCTGGTGAGTTAAGGGGATGTCTACCTCAAGCATGTGAAGGCTTCCCCCCACGGAGTGGGTGGATGAGAACAATTTGTTTCAATGGCCATGACGGTGCCTGAAGCAGGCTGGTTGGTTGGTTGTTGGCCTTTGTTCTTGAAGAGGACCAAAATAACATCACTATGCTACAGTCAAGTTTCAGTGTGTCCAACTATGGCTGGTCAGATCAATGTGAGCTTGGGATGTTCAACCACAAGTCAGGCACAAAAAGTCCAGTGAGCATTTGGGGTGGATTATCCAAATTAGTGCATCTTGCATTTCCATTGAGCTATTTCAATTCTACTTTGCTCATAGAGCACAGCACCTTCTCTGATGTGGGCATACCATGCTGAGTGGTCCTGTGCCAGTGTCTCCCAGGTAGCACAATCAGTTCCAAAGTTCTTAAGAGAGACCTTGAGAGTGTCCTTGTATTGCTTCCTCTGGCCACCAAGTGAACACTTGCCCTGTGTGAGTTCTCCATAAAATAGTCTTTTGGGCAACTATACATTTTACATTCAAACAATGTGGCCAGTCCATTGGAGTTGCACTCTCTGTTTTTGTCTTTTTGTTTTTGCTTTTTGGTGAGGCGATCGGGGTTAAGTGATTTGCCCAGGGTCACACAGCTAGTAAGTGTCAAGTGTCTGAGGTCAGATTTGAACTCAGGTCCTCCTGATTCCAAGGCAGGAGCTATATCCTTTGCACCACCTAGCTGCTCCAGAGTTGCACTCACTGAAGCAGAGTTTGAGTGCTTAGCAGTTTAGCTTGAAAAAGGACCTCATCGTCTGGTATCTTATCCTGCCAGGTGATCTCCAAAATCTTCCTACAATAATTCAGATGGAAGTCTTTCAGTTTCCTGAAGCTGGCACTATGGAGTACTTAGAGCTTGATCAGGCATCAAAGACACTAAGGTCATCCACTACATCTTGGGACATTGTCAGTTGTCCTAACTTTTGTCTTGCCATTGGACTTCAATGACATGGGAAGAGAGAGTGGGACTAATGACTTTATGCAACCCTGCCTCCAATCAGTTTAATGCAATTCACGGGCAACTTAAGACGTCATCCTATAATGTCATTGGTCCTCTTTGAAAAGGAAGGACAAACAACAATATATGCATGGGATGCACCTTGTTAAAGCACAGCCTTTAAGGTGGTATTTTGCTTTAACAGATCAGTTGCTTTTCTGTAGTCAATAATCATAGTGGGGTCTTGTTTTCTCTACACCTTTCAGTCTATAATGTGACTATAAAGTTGTATTCATCTACCGAATATTATTTGTGTTATGGCAGAGAAGTCAGGAACTACTAGGACAGAATATTGTAGGCATTGTTAAATGAGGTTTCTGTGCTGGATGTTTTTGTTTCAATTCAATGTTTTAATTACAAAAAAGGGTTCAATGTGTGGGAATGGCTGTGATGTAAAGATAAAAGATATTAATAAAATCTTTTTAAAAGAATATTATTTGTGAAAGTTGGCCTATTCCCTTTCTTTCTCATATTTCCATCAAGGATGCCCTCAATACATCTGTTGATTATTTTCATAAAAATGTGTAGAGATGAAAAAGTAGGAATATCATTTAGTAGTTCTTGATAAGCTCTCATTTGCCTTCATTTCCTAGTAGAAATGAGGCTTTAAATTTAATATCTTCCTCTTTCAAATATCTTGAGAATCAACCTTCAATGTCTTCAAAATTGTGTGCCCTCCAGTATGGACCTCCTCTGTGTACACTTGGTTTTGTCCAAATACTTTTTTCCATCTTTGTTTTCTTTTTCTTTTTTCAGTCATGCATCCCCATCTTTGTTTTTTTCAGTGCCATTTTTATTTCCTAATACATCACGTCTAAGATGGTGATGGTAAAGCCCATATGTGGTGGTATGACTGTCTTTGATGACAAAAAGTATATGTTATAAACATTTTTACAGATCTTTTCTCTGTTTATTCTGTTATTCTCCTTGCAGTTTAATCCTTTAGTATCATCAGAATGGTTTTATTTAGTTGGGTCTTTCACCAACTTTACTTTAAACTTTTCATTCTACTGCTTTTCAATTTTTTGAGGCAATACAACTCATAGTCTTCTATTGTCCACCTTGATCATATATTACAAGAGACTTTATATTTTAAACTGTTGTTACTCTTAGTTGCCATATCTCTTTGTTTTGCAAAGAAATCTCCTGTCTGCTGGCTATCACTTCCTTATCATTGCTTTAGATCAGCTAAACTTCTTTAGGAAATGGCTATAATGAATCAAAAACTTAAGGAAGAACATATCCTTTGAAAACTAGAATTGGGCAAGAGGAAGCTAATGACGTTCTAAGACATCAAGAAATCATAAGACAAAATCAAAAGAATGAAAAAACAGAAGAGAGAGTAAAACATCTCATCAGAAAAATAACTGATATGGAGAACATATTGAGGAGAAATAATATAATAATAGTCAGACTACCTGAGAATTACAGTAAAAAAAGAATGTTGATATAGTATTATATGAAATTATCAAGGAAAATTGCCTTGAAGTTCTAAAACAAGAAGGCAAAGCAGAAAGAGAAAAAAAAAAACCTACCAATTGTCACCTGAAAGAGATCCCAGGAGGAAAACTTATAGGAATATTATAGCCAAGTTTCAAAGCTGACAGGTTAAGGAGAAAATATTGCAAGCAACAAGAAAAAAAAAACAATTTAAATATGGAGCTACAATAAGGATTACACAAGACCTACAGCTACTATATTGAAGGACTATAGATTTTGAAACACTATAATTCATAGAGCAAAAGATCTGGGGTTACTACCAAGGGACACTTACCCAGCAAAGTTAATATGATCCTGAATGAAAAAGAAAAAGACATTTAATGAACTGAAAGACTTCCAGGTTTTTGTGACAAAAACCCCTGAACTTAAGGGAAAATCCAACATATAACATCCCAGGAGAAATATAAGGTAAACATTAAAGACCAATTATAAGGGACTCAATAAGGTCAAATTGTTTACTTTGTATATGTGAAAATATTAGTAGTACTCTTATGATTGTCATCATTATTTGGGTAGTTTGAAAGAAAGGCTTGGGCTAAGCTGAGGATGATGGGATGATTTAAAGAAAATAAAACTGTATAGGGAGAGATAAAAAGGAGTAATTATTTCATATAAATCAGGCATAAAAAGAGAAACTTATAGAAGAAACTAGTAGGAGGGAGAACAGGTAATGCTAGAACCTTACTCTCATTGGTAATGGGTTAAAGAGGGGACTCTCTCTCTCTCTCTCTCTCTCTCCATATATATTTATATGTATATATACACGTACATATATATTAAGAAGAGTATAAAAGTCTTCTAAATTCAGAAACAAATAAGAAGACAAGGGGATAGGTTTGGGGGAGAGGATAAGGGAGGGACTTTTAGAGGGGTAGGTTAAGGAATAGGAGGACAAAGTAGTGGGTAGAAATAAAGCAGAGGGGTGAGGAGAGATGGGCTAAATAGGGTGAGAAGGATAGTGAGGAAAAATAGGAAGGGGGAAAATACACAACAAATAATTGTAGCTTAGAATGCAAATGGGACAAATTTACCCATAAAACAGAAATGGATAGCAGATTAAAAATTTGAATTCAACAATATGTTGCTTTCAGGAAACATTATAAAAATGAGAGATATACACAAAGATGATATAAAGGGCAGGAGTAGAATTTATCATGTAAAAAAAAGCAGGGATAGAAATCATGATCTTAGACAAAGTTAAAGTTAAAACAGATTTGATCAAAAGTGAAAAGCAGACAAATTACACTATGTGTCAGCAATATCATTCAATGTTGTTTTAGAACACTTAAAATACCTGGACAGTATAAAATACTGGAGCGTATACCTGCTGAAACAGACACAGGAACTATATGAACATAAACATAAACCACTTTTTATATAGATAAACTCAGATCTAAATAATTGAAGTAACATATGTTGTTCATGGGTAGGTCAAGCCAATATAATTTTAAGAATGACAATTTAACCTAACTAATCTACTTATTCAATGTCATCCCAATTAACTTACTTAAAATTAATTTTACCGAATTAGAAAAAGTAGTAACAAAGTTCATTTGGAAGAACAAAAGGTCAGGAATTAAAAAAAAAAAAAACAGGAAAAAAGATATAAAGGAAATAGATTCAGCAGTACTAGACCTTAAACTATATTATAAGGGAGAGCATTGTTGAAGTGTAAAAAGGATCATTCTGATTATTTTAAATTAAAATTTGCTCATATAAATAAAACCTATGTATCCAACAAGAGAAGGAATGTACAACTCCAGCCTCAGACACATAATACTTCCTAGCTATGTGACTTTGGGCAAGTCACTTAACCCCACTTGCCCCACTGGAAAAAAAAAAAGAAAAAAAAGAGAGAAGGAATGTAGAAAATTGGAAAAAAAAAACTTTCATAGACATTCTCTCTGATAGGATGTGATTGGGTTGGAAAATTGCAATGGACTAGGAAATGATGAGCTGGTTGATATAGAAAAACATGGAAAGACTTGGACCTATGAAGGAAGATGTTATCCATCCTCAGAGAAACACATGACAGGTGGAAATAAGTATAGTATGGTCTTACATATATGTATCTGAGTGTATATGTGTTTATGTATGTGTATGTTTGTAGATAACTATGTATATGTGTCTATATATCCTTGCTTAATTGTAGCCTTCTTTAGGGTGGGGGAAAGAGTGGGGGAAAAATAAAGTAAAAAGTTCACATCAGAGAACAAAAGAAAACCAGCAAGAAAGCAAAGAAAAGCTGGGCAGCTTTAAAAACAATGTGTAGTATTTATTACATAGGTTTTCTTGAAATAGAAATTTATTGTTTTATATTGAGTCCTCTCTTATGGTTTGTGGTGT